CTTGAAATGGCCAAATGACCTTTGGTGCTCACCAGAAAAACCAAAAAACGAATCATCCAGCTCTCGCTGACTAGAAATGATGGATGATTTCATATTTTTATTTGTTCTTCATTTTCGGGTTTTTGCCTATTTTTGGCATTTCCAGAATACCAGGCAAATAAAATTCTTTTTTATGATGATGTCGACAAAACTCCAAAAACTTTCCATTTTCAAATGAAACAACAATAAACTTCAATGGAATAGTTGTTGTAGTTGTTAGTTAGCCAGTGTTAAATAAATTCACCATAAAAATTTATAATTGAATTTGTGGCCAGCCACAGACAAACACACATGAAGTGTTAACCAATTCTAATTTGAGTGGAGATCGTGGAAAGCAGGGGAGGGGAATTAAAATGAAGTTGCAAGAGTTTAGAGTAAATGTTTGACTGGGTTTAAACAAATGTAAATATTCATGACACAACATGTTGTAATGTAACAACTACATTTATGATAAATGTAGACTGAATTTCAAAAGGAGGTATGATAAGGTGGGGAAATTATTCTTAAGTAAAAAATACACTCGGGGAGTGTAATACCTAAAAACACTCTTTCATATAGAATAAAGTGTTTTAGATTTTTTCTATAGAACAATTCCTCAGGCCACTGGGGTAAGTTTTTTCTATAGAAAAAAATTCCTCAGGTCCCTGAGGACACTTTTTTCTATAGAAAAGAAAATCCCCAGGTCCTTGAGGACACTTTTTTCTATAGAAAAAAATTCCTCAGGTCCCTGAGGACACTTTTTTCTATAGAAAAAAATTCCTCAGGTCCCTGAGGACACTTTTTTCTATAGAAAAAAATTCCTCAGGTCCCTGAGGACACTTTTTTCTATAGAAAAAAATTCCTCAGGTCCCTGAGGACACTTTTTTCTATAGAAAAAAATTCCTCAGGTCCCTGAGGACACTTTTTTCTATAGAAAAAAATTCCTCAGGTCCCTGAGGACACTTTTTTCTATAGAAAAAAATTCCTCAGGTCCCTGAGGACACTTTTTTCTATAGAAAAAAATTCCTCAGGTCCCTGAGGACACTTTTTTCTATAGAAAAAAATTCCTCAGGTCCCTGAGGACACTTTTTTCTATAGAAAAAAATTCCTCAGGTCCCTGAGGACACTTTTTTCTATAGAAAAAAATTCCTCAGGTCCCTGAGGAAACTTTTTTCTACAGAAAAAAATTCTTCAGGCCCCTGGGGACACTTTTTTATATAGAAAAAAAAATTCCTCCGGCCACTGAGGCAAGTTTTTTCTATAGAAAAAAGTTCCTCCGGCCACTGAGGCAAGTTTTTTCTATAGAAAAAAATTCCTCCGGCCACTGAGGCAAGTTTTTTCTATAGAAAAAAAAATCCTCAGGCCACTGAGGTAAGTTTTTTCTATAGAAAAAAATTCCTCAGGCCACTGAGGTAAGTTTTTTCTATAGAAAAAAATTCCTCAGGCCACTGAGGTAAGTTTTTTCTACAGAAAAAAATTCCTCAGACCACTGAGGTAAGTTTTTTCTACAGAACAAAATTCCTCAGGCCACTGAGGTAAGTTTTTTCTACAGAAAAAATTCCTCAAGCCACTGAGGCAAGTTTTTTCTATAGAAAAAAATTCCTCAGGTCACTGAGGCAAGTTTTTTCTATAGAAAAAAATTCCTCAGTTCACTGAGGCAAGTTTTTTCTATAGAAAAAAATTCCTCAGTTCACTGAGGCAAGTTTTTTCTATAGAAAAAAATTCCTCAGGTCACTGAGGCAAGTTTTTTCTATAGAAAAAAATTCCTCAGGTCACTGAGGCAAGTTTTTTCTATAGAAAAAAATTCCTCAGGTCACTGAGGCAAGTTTTTTCTATAGAAAAAAATTCCTCAGGTCACTGAGGCAAGTTTTTTCTATAGAAAAAAATTCCTCAGGTCACTGAGGCAAGTTTTTTCTATAGAAAAAAATTCCTCAGGTCACTGAGGCAAGTTTTTTCTATAGAAAAAAATTCCTCAGTTCACTGAGGCAAGTTTTTTCTATAGAAAAAAATTCCTCAGGTCACTGAGGCAAGTTTTTTCTATAGAAAAAAATTCCTCAGGTCACTGAGGCAAGTTTTTTCTATAGAAAAAAATTCCTCAGTTAACTGAGGCAAGTTTTTTCTATAGAAAAAAAATCCTCAGCTCTCTGAGGGCACTGTTTTCTACAGAAAAAATTTCCTCAGGTCTCTGAGGGCACTGTTTTCTATAGAAACAAATTGTCCAGGTTTCTTGAGATAATTTTTTCTATACAAAAAAGTCCTCTGGTCCCTTGTGTTCATCTGACCTCTGTCTTTATGTCGTAAAATCAACAACCCGAAGATATTATAAAAAATCAACAATAAAAATGAATTCACTTTTCAATCAACGTTATTGTCCCGAATGTCACTGGCAAATATTTGTAGAAAGTTGCACAACAGCAACAACATCAGCATCATCATCATTGTTGTTCTTGATGTTGTTGCTATTTTTGATCACTTCAAACAACATTATTTCCATGATGTTGAAAAACGAAAAGCATCAGCTGGGTCTGCTTGCAGGGCAAAGGATTTTATTTTCAGCTATTGGGCACGCATATTTTGTTGGCAAGTGGAGGCGATGTCCCATATGCCATTACCAATACCAATGCAATGGTGAGGAAGACCCCTCCACATGGATGCTTGTGAATTGGCACAAAATGGAAGTGACTCTCAAAAGAAGGGATGAGGAGTAGGACGATGAAGTGAAACAAAATGAATTCTTCATGAAAAGAGAAAGTACACTCGAATGTCTTCCATATAAAAATTCGGAAAAAAACGGAATATGGTATAAGTAAAATATTGTATAATAACAATTCGAGTAATGTAGGAAAACAGCAGTATTTTTCCAAGTTTGTTTTTCCGTTTACATGATTTTCTTCTCTCGGTTTTTTTGCCAATTCATATTTGAGGTAGATTTTTCCGATACTCTTACCAGTGATTGCCATTGGCCACAACTGTGTTATTGCCCTCCAGCATTCCTTGGAATGCTTTTTTTGTTGTAACTTGTATGTTTTTTTTTTCTCGGAAAAAATTGTTCCATCTTAAGTTCTTAAAAATCATTGTTCGCGGAAAGCCTTTAAGCACTTCCATTATTATTTGCATGATATTCAATGTCATTCACATTTATTCTCATTTTTTTATTAATATGGATGTGTGAGGGGGATTGTTCGCAAGATTGGGGGTATTTTTTAAACAATTGGTATGAGACAATTTTGCTATAGAAAATATGTCATCAAGGACTGAGAAAATTTATTTTCTAAAGAAAAAACTTGCCCCAGTGGCCTGAGGAATCTTTTTTCCTATAGAAAAACTTCCCCCGGTGGCTTGAGGATTTTTTTCTACAATGTCGTGGATTTTTTAAATATTTTTTAAGGACCTGGATTTTTAAATAATTTTTTTTTCAAGGACAAGGACTGGATTTTTTAAAATAATATTTTCTCAAGGACTACAAGGACGTGGATTTTTAAAATAATATTTTCTCAAGGACTGCAAGGACGTGGATTTTTTAAATAATTCTTTTCTCAAGGACGCGGATTTTTTAAATAATTCTTTTCTCAAGGACGCGGATTTTTTAAATAATTCTTTTCTCAAGGACGCGGATTTTTTAAATAATTCTTTTGACAAGGACGCGGATTTTTTAAATAATTATTTTCTTAAAGACTACTAGGACGTTAATTTTTTAAATAATTCTTTTCTCAAAGACGTGGATTGCTTAAATAATTCTTTTCTCAAAGACGTGGATTGTTTAAATAAGTCTTTTTTCTCAATGACTATAAGGACTTGGATTTTTTAAATAATATTTTTTCAAGGACGTTTATTTTTAAAATAATATTATCTCAAGGACTACAAGGACATGGATTTTTGAAATAATATTGTCTCAAGGACTTCAATGACGTGATTTTTTAAAAAAATATTTTCTCAAGGACTACTAGGACATGGATTTTTGAAATAATATTTTCTCAAGGACTTCAATGACGTGATTTTTTAAAAAAATATTTTCTCAAGGACTACAAGGACGAGTATTTTTTAAAAATATTTTCTCAAGGACTACAAGGACGTGGGTTTTTTAAATTGTGTTTTCTCAAGGACTATAAGGACGTGGGTTTTTAAAATAATATTTTATCAAGGACTACAAGGACGTGGATTTTTTAAATAATTTTTTTCTCAAGGACTACAAGGACATGGATTTTTAAAATAATATTTTCTCAAGGACTACAAGGACATGGATTTTTAAAATGATATTTTCTCAAGGACAACAAGGACGTGGATTTTTAAAATAATTTTTTCTCAAGGACTACAAGGACGTGAATTTTTAAATTAATATTTTCTCAAGGACTACAAGGACGTGGATTTTTAATATAATATTTTCTCAAGGACTACAAGGACGTGGATTTTTAAAATAATATTTTCTCAAGGACTACAAGGACATGGATTTTTAAAATAATATTTTCTCAAGGACTACAAGGACATGGATTTTTAAAATGATATTTTCTCAAGGACAACAAGGACGTGGATTTTTAAAATAATTTTTTCTCAAGGACTACAAGGACGTGAATTTTTAAATTAATATTTTCTCAAGGACTACAAGGACGTGGATTTTTAATATAATATTTTCTCAAGGACTACAAGGACGTGGATTTTTAAAATAATATTTTCTCAAGGACTACAAGGACGTGGATTTTTAAAATAATATTTTCTCAAGGACTACAAGGACGTGGATTTTTAAAATAATATTTTCTCAAGGACTACAAGGACGTGGATTTTTAAAATAATATTTTCTCAAGGACTACTACGACGTGGATTTTAAATCAATAAATTTTCAGGGATATCAAGAATAAATTTTAAATGAAATATTTTCCAAGGACCTCTAGGGCCTCAATAGTGAATTTTTATTATATTTTTTTTAAATAAAATTAAAACTTTTTTTTTTTATCATATTTTTAATAAAATTTCCCTTATCATTCCAGGTCCCCAGCAAACTCCAAAAAATTTAAGGTAAATTTAATGTTCAAATATTTTTTTCTTTTTAAATCACTTTTTACCCATTCCACAAAAAAAAGAAAAAAATACAAATGTTGCATTTTCCCATAAAACTCTCGTGGGCACTTATCAAACATTAAATATTTAGTAATATTTTACGACAGTGTTTAGCTGCTTTCATTGAAAATGTTAAAAAAATGAAACGAATTTTTCGGTGTTGTTTTGGTGGGTGGTCAAGACATTTGGTAATTCAAAGGACCTTTGCTTGGGGAAAGGAGGGCTGGTTTTCGTAAAGGAAATGCTTTTCTTGGGTAATAGCCACCCACAACCAAAAGAAAAAAAAACGAAAAATATTTTCAACTTGGGTGGTGGTTAGTAGAAGGTCCTTTTTTAAGAATTTCCGTTTTGTGTTTGAGATTTGAATACGTCGTCGTTGATTTGTTGTGTTCCACGGAGAATTGCCAAGGCTTTTACTTACTCATTTTCCTGCTATGCTGCCACTCACTGACTGATGTCTCTTAATGTTGATTATTTATGTCCTTTTATTATGGTACGAAAAAAAAATAAATGGGGAGGGGTTGGGGGGTTGTAAAAAGTCGCAGGAGACAAATGACGAGGTGTTTAAAATAGCGTTGAGAGAAAAACTGGAAACGAATCCTGTCAAAGATTATGTAGCATCTGTGACAAATGTATTTCGTGTAAATGTCTCGTTACAAATATTATATTTCATGCATGTCCTTGCTAAAGTCCTTTGAATAAATTTTTATGCAGACAAAAAAAAAATACAAGGAAAAAAGCTAATATCTGTTAAGAAATCATTTGGCATCCATTTGACTTCTGACAGCGTTTAAAGGTAATGACAAACGTGTTGCAGATGGAATTTGAGACAAGAGAGGGGAGAGAGCAAGGAGATAAAGAAGAAAAATTCAGCAAAGAACTGGAAAATAGTAAATAGCAACCATGGGAATAGAATTTTTTATTTCTCCTTAATGGTGAGGCTTTTTAGGTCCATCTCTCATAGAAGATTATTTTAAGTTCTTCCAGGGACACAACTTTATAGCAGGGCTCCGGAACGAGCTGCTTGTGAGAAAATGAAGAGAAGAGAGGACGTGGATTTTTAAAATAATATTTTCTCAAGGATGTCGATTTTTTAAATAATATTTTCTCAAGGACTACAGGGACGTGGATTTTTAAAATATTTTTTTTACAAGGACTACAAAGACGTGGATTTTTTAATTTTTTTTCGAGGACTATAAGGACAAGGATTTTTTAAATATTTTTTCAAGAACTAAAAGGACGTTGATTTTTTAAATATTTTTTTTTCAAGGACGTGATTTTTTTAATATTTTTTTTTACAAGGACGTGGATTTTTTAAATATTTTTTTTACAAGGATTACAAGGATATGGATGTTCTAAATTTTTTTTCAAGGAATTACAAGGACCTGGATTTTCTACTTTTTTTTAAGGAATACAAGGACGTGGATTTTTTAATTATTTTTTATAGAATACAAGGACGTGGATTTTCTAAATATTTTTTTTTTCAAGGACTACAAGGTCGTGGATTTTCTAAATATTTTTTTTTTCAAGGACTACAAGGACCTGGATTTTCTAAATATTTTCTTTCAAGGACTACAAGGACGTGGATTTTCTAAATATTTTTTTTCAAAGACTACAAGGACGTGGATTTTCTAAATATTTTCTTTCAAGGACTACAAGGACGTGGATTTTCTAAATATTTTCTTTTTCAAGAACTACAACGACGTGGATTTTCTAAATATTTTTTTTTCAAGGACTACAAGGACCTGGATTTTCTAAATATTTTCTTTCAAGGACTACAAGGACGTGGATTTTCTAAATATTTTCTTTCAAGGACTACAAGGACGTGGATTTTCTAAATAATTTCTTTCAAGGACTACAAGGACGTGGATTTTCTAAATATTTTCTTTCAACGACTACAAGGACGTGGATTTTCTAAATATTTTCTTTCAACGACTACAAGGACGTGGATTTTTTAAATATTTTTTTTTCAAGGAATAAAAGGACGTGGATTTTCTAAATATTTTCTTTCAACGACTACAAGGACGTGGATTTTTTAAATATTTTTTTTTCAAGGACGTGGATTTTTTAAATATTTTTTTTTCAAGGACGTGGATTTTTTAAATATTTTTTTTCCAAGGAATACAAGGACGTGGATTTTTTAAATATTTTTTTTCCAAGGAATACAAGGACGTGGATTTTTTAATTATTTTTTTTAAGGAATACAATGACGTGGATTTTTTAAATATATTTTTTTAGGGAATACAGGGACATGGATTTTTTAAATATTTTTTTCAAGGAATACAAGGACGTGGATTTTTTAAAAATATTTTTTTAAGGAATACAAGGACATGGATTTTCTAAATATTTTTTTTTTCAAGGACTACAAGGACGTGGATTTTCTAAATATTTTTTTTTTTCAAGGACTACAAGGACCTGGATTTTCTAAATATTTTCTTTCAAGGACTACAAGGACGTGGATTTTCTAAATATTTTCTTTCAAGGACTACAAGGACCTGGATTTTCTAAATATTTTCTTTCAAGGACTACAAGGACGTGGATTTTCTAAATATTTTCTTTTTCAAGAACTACAACGACGTAGATTTTCTAAATATTTTTTTTCAAGGACTACAAGGACGTGGATTTTCTAAATATTTTCTTTCAACGACTACAAGGACGTGGATTTTTTAAATATTTTTTTTTCAAGGAATAAAAGGACGTGGATTTTCTAAATATTTTCTTTCAACGACTACAAGGACGTGGATTTTTTAAATATTTTTTTTCAAGGACGTGGATTTTTTAAATATTTTTTTTTTTTCAAGGACGTGGATTTTTTAAATATTTTTTTTCCAAGGAATACAAGGACGTGGATTTTTTAATTATTTTTTTTTAAGGAATACAATGACGTGGATTTTTTAAATATATTTTTTTAGGGAATACAGGGACATGGATTTTTTAAATATTTTTTTTCAAGGAATACAAGGACGTGGATTTTTTAATTATTTTTTTTAAGGAATACAATGACGTGGATTTTTTAAATATATTTTTTTAGGGAATACAGGGACATGGATTTTTTAAATATTTTTTTTCAAGGAATACAAGGACGTGGATTTTTTAAAAATATTTTTTTAAGGAATACAATGACATGGATTTTTTAAATATTTTTTTTTCAAGGAATACAAGGACGTGGATTTTTTTAAATATTTTTTTTTCAATGAATACAAGGACGTGGATTTTTTAAATATTTTTTTTCAAGGAATACAAGGACGTGGATTTTTTAAATATTTTTTTTCAAGGAATACAAGGACGTGGATTTTTTAAATATTTTTTTTTTTCAAGGATACAAGGACGTGGATTTTTTAAATAATTTTTTTTTCAAGGAATACAAGAACGTAAATTTTTTAAATACTTTTTTTTTCAAGGAGTACAAGGTCGTGGATTTTTTAAATACTTTTTTTTTCAAGGAGTACAAGGTCGTGGATTTTTTAAATATTTTTTTTTCAAGGACGTGGATTTTTTAAATATTTTTTTTTTCAAGGACGTGGATTTTTTAGATGTTCTTTTTCAAGGACGTGGATTTTTTAGATGTTCTTTTTCAAGGACGTGGATTTTTTAAATATTTTTTTCAAAAACGTGGAATATTTAAATATTTATTTTTTCAAAAACGTGGAATATTTAAATATTTATTTTTTCAAGGACGTGGATTTTTTAAATATTTTTTTCAAAGACGTGGAATATTTAAATATTTATTTTTTCAATGACGTGGATTTTTTAAATATTTTTTTTAAGGACGTGGATTTTTTAAATATTTTTTTTCAAGGACGTGGATTTTTTAAATATTTTTTTTTCAAGGACGTGGATTTTTTAAATATTTTTTTTTCAGGGACGTGGATTTTTTAAATATTTTTTTTCAGGGACGTGGATTTTTTAAATATATTTTTTTCAGGGACGTGGATTTTTTAAATATTTTTTTCAGGGACGTGGATTTTTTAAATATTTTTTGTCAAGGACGATTTTTTATATATGTTTTTTAAGGACGTGGATTTTTTAATTTTTTTTTTTCAAGAACGTGGATTTTTTAATTTTTTTTTCAAGAACGTGGATTTTTTAAATATTTATTTTTTCAAGGACGTGGATTTTTTTTCAAGGACTTGGATTTTTTAAATATTTTTTTCAAGGACTTGGATTTTTTAAATATTTTTTTCAAGGACTTGGATTTTTTAAATATTTTTTTCAAGAACTTGGATTTTTTAAATATTTTTTTCAAGGACGTGGATTTTTTGAATATAGAAGTAAGAACAACACATATAAAACAAGCGATCTCTGCCGCAGTCTGAGCTGTTGATGATTTTATACACGATGATCATTGGGAGAGTGAGAGTTATTCTCCACTTCGTCGTTGATAGAGTTATTGCATATGTATGGGTTACATCTGCTTTAAAGTATTCCCTGGATTTGAGCTTAACGGAATTTCTTGTGTTGATTTATCGAATGGTTGCCTTTGTAAATAACTAAATTCATATGGAAATGTTGATCACAATTTAATTTTTTTTCTGGGAGAACTTAAGACTATATAGTTCTCTAAGTTGTATACATTTAAATATTTTATTCAAATATGTTCTCCCTTTAGTATTTTTCTTATATTCCTCTCCCAGAGTATTTTCCGGCAAATGGAGTCAATGACGTTATTGAGTTGCTGTTATTTGTTTGGTTTGCCATTTTGGCAATGTCCTGATTGCATTTCAAATCAATGGGTTTCTAAGTTATATTTCCTTGTGTTTGTTGTTGTTTTTTTCTCTATTTTCAAAAAAAAAAAAAAAAAACAACAACATAAAACCCTCACTCTACAACATCGTCTAGTGTATTATTCATTGACTGACGATTTGTTTGCCTGAATATGAAATGAAATTTGTCCCAATATTTTGTTGTCGTCCTGTTGACTGTCTGCTTGCCTGTTTTTCTGTCTGTCCGTGTGTTTG